GCCCTCCCCTCGCTCCCACTTGCTCCCTTCTGCCCAGAGCGAGCACCTGCATCATGCCCTCCCCTACATGCCAGTTGGGCAAGCGGCAGCAGGGCATAGCCCCCTTGGCTCCCCCCGCCAGGGCAGAGGCAGGCATAGCCAGAGGAGCCATGGAAGAAGCCCCCATGGCTGCCCAACTGGCCCCATCGCCCAACTGGCCCAGCCTCCAGCGCTTACTTTAAAAAAAAAAAAAAGCCCCATACTCACCAGCTCTGGCAGCGGGGATCAGGGCCTCTGAGGGCTTGTGGCAGAGCACCCACCCCCCGCCCCCACACGCACAACACAGGGCAGTGGGGATCGCCCCCCTGCCTGACACACACACAGCAGCTGCCCCATGGCATGGGTGCAGTGTGACTTGGCAGGGCACCATGCCCTGTCTGGGAGGTGGGGCGGCTCCAGCAGTCAGCCAGAGCCTGGCTCCACTGAGCCCCAGCGGCCCCAGCTCTCAGAGCGTGCAGCACCCTGTTGAGCCGCACTGCACCTGTGCGATGCGACAGCTGCTGTGCGGATGCCAGGCGGAGGGGAGGGACAATCCCTGCTGCCCCACCGCTCCCACAAGTGCTCAGAGGCCCCAATCGCCGCTGCTGCAGCTGGTGAATGCAGAGCTTAAAATTAAAAAAAAAAGGGAAGCCCCAGACTCACCAGCTGCAGGAGCAGTGATTGGGGCCTCTGGGTGCTCATGGCAGAGCCCCCCTGCGCAGTGTGGGGCACTGAGGATTGCCCCCCGCACCACTTGGCACCTGCATGGCAGCTGCCCCATGGCGTGGGTGCAGCATGGCTCGGCAGGGCACCACGCGCTGTGTGGGAGTTGAGGCGGCTTCACGTGTCAGCCAGAGCCCAGCAGCTCTCAGCCCCAGCTCTCAGACAGCGTATGGCATCCTGCTGAGCTGCGCTGCACCTGCGCCATGGGGCAGCTGCCGCACGGGTGCCAAGGTGGGGGGTGGCAATCCCCACTGCCCTGCACTGCACAGGGGTGCTCTGCCATGAGCGCCCAGAGTTCCCAATTGCTGCTCCTGCAGCCGGTGAATGTGGGACTTTTTTTTTTTTCAGTGCCAGACAGGGGATGGGACCAGGCAGGGCAACCATGGGGACTTCTCCCGCGGCTCCCCCGCCTGGGGAGAGGCAGGCACAACCACCCAGCTGTGCCTACCTCTTCCTGACCAATCCGAATTGGCGCCGAATCTTCCAAAGCCAATTCGACTGAATCGATTCAGGACAGTGATGCAAATCGAATCACTGTCCTCCAAACTGGCCGAATCCGAATGTAATACTTCCCTATTCACACAGGCCTAGTGCCTAGCATTGGCTTTTTTCAGCACACCACACTGCTGTGGGCATGCACGTAGCACTTTGGACTGATTGGCACTAGTAACAGTGCAGTGCATGGACACATCTATGCTATGTCCAGTTGAAGGCAACCCTTGCAGAACAGGGTAACAGGTTTGGGGGCACTACTGCTAGGCCCAGTGTGCTTACTGGGTTAGACCTGGCCATTTTCTTCCTTGCTCTAGTCTTGTATCTTCCCCAGCAGAGAAGATAATCTACCACTAAAGTGTTCTTTAGACACAATATAAACGCTGTCAAACTGAATTGTATTGTGTCAGTCCTTCACCAGGAAATGGTTTGAGTTTTTAGAAATGCTCCTTCATAAACTTGGATGAGCAATCTGTGCTTTTTCTCCAGTCAGAGTGGTATTCATTTCCCCTAATTTGGGTTCTCAATTTAAAGCCAATGTAGGTCCTCCCTTGTCCTTACCCTATTGTAGCCTGAAGGTATGAGAGGAATAACACAACTGAGTGGCCTTCAGTTGATATGGATGTGGGAGGTAGAATTACCCCAAGAAAAAAAATGGAGTAAAACTACATGTTTTAAGCATCTTTTGCCTGTCCCCTGTTGTCTCAAAGTAGTGCTTGTCCTAGGCAAGCAAGCTATTTCCTTGTAGTGAGGTTCTGCAATAACATTAAATTGAGAGCAGACATCCAGAAATAGGATAAGAAATGGTGTCAGCTGGTGAACAGTAGCCTGATAGGTGAGTTTTGTTCCCTAATGAATCCAACACTGATTTCTTCACAGATGGCACACGAGTAGCTTCCTCAACAGGCATAGATCTTCTCCTCTTGGATGACTTCAAACTGGTCATTAATGACAACACATACCACGTTCAACCACCAAAGAGAGGTAAAACTGATTTGTGTGTGATAAATTTTTGAAAACAGTAGTAAATCTTGTCGTTACGAGCTTGAAGAAGCTGATACAACCTTTTATGTGTATTACAAAAGACGCTGTGAAAACAGATAGTTTAAAAAATGAATCTTGGTGTTTCCTAATCCACTTGCATTCTTTAATTCAGTCTGTGGATGCATTCAGAAAACATTTACTGTTTATAAACAAATAACTATCCTATTTTCACGAAAATATCTGGTGATAAAAAAAAATGAAGAAAAAATGAAACTTTAAGTTAAATTCCTTGTAAGAAGCTAAGCTTTTTATTGTAAATGCAAAAGGAGACCCATGTTAAAAACAAATACCATCTGCATTGCAAAAGTGCTCCATTGTGAGAGAGATGATTTTTTTTTTAAATATAGTATCTCTAAAGTTTGAATAAAACTGTAAGTGTAACCAGCTAATTCACAAACATTGAGTTGAACCAAGCAGAGCTTCTATGGGGTTTCATGCTGTAAACACCAAGTGGAGAGAGAAGGGGAATTGCTACTATTGGTCTCATTTTAAAATAGTAACATATTTGATGAGCAGTGTTGGAATTGGCATTAACTACATCTGCCATTTAGGAGCATAATCTGAGGATTAGCACACTGATTTTTTTGGGACACCTGCAAAATCGACTGATTTTTTTTTTTGTAGGTGGGAGAGGTGGAAACATTAGCATATCATCTCCTTTTTTTTCCCCCACAGCAAGCTGCTACAGGTTAAGTGGAGCGCTCCCTCCCTGGTTTTTATAAGTGTCTGTGCTAAACCATCAAGACTTTTTTTTTTTGGTAGAGATTGCCAGAATGACAACCAGTGGAGGATTTTGGCTATGTTTTGTTCAGCTGTATCATTTGTTACATGCATTAATTAACCCCAGCATTTGTGGCAATCCAGGAAAAAAAACTTTCATCTGCCGTTGTCTCTTGTTAAACATCTATATTGATTTAGGGCAGTGATTCTCAACCAGGGTGCTGTAAGAACCTTTGAGGGTATACTGCAGCACCTGGCCTCTGTGAAAGGAAGCAAATGCTCATTTCTGAACATGCCAGGCACTCTGTGCCCACCCCAGCATCTTGGCAAAATTCCTCATTGCCCCTCCCACCAGCTCTGGGAACATGGAAAGAGCAGGGGAAAGAGCTTTGCTGGAAAGTATAGCCCCTCTGCTCTAAGTAGTGAGCTCTGCCATGGGGGACACATGCAGGGTTGTGCTTTTTCAACTTGGCTTCTTCTTCTGCTCTTCCCATGCTCCCAGACCTGGTGGGAGGCACCTCAGTTCTCAAGTCCGCAGAGGAGCAGCCACGGTAGCAGGGGCCACAATCGCCCTTCAGGTACAGGCTGGGGACAGACCATGGAAGGAGCCAGGCATGGAGGATCCTGACCCTGCCACCCTCACTAGGCACCAGCCTTACCTCCTGCAGGGAGCACTACCTCCTTCAGGGGTCTAATGAAATCATTAGAGCCCATCAGCTCCCCAGTCTGCCCTGCCAAGTAGCCCCTGCCACTCTGAGGACTCTGCACCCCTCCCTGCCATGCTTTTAGAAGTACCCTGCCACCCGTGAGATCTTTTTTAAGGGTGCTGTGGGTTGCGAGCAGGTAAACACTGTAAGAAATAAATTAGTCTTTGAATGGAGTGTGGCTGAATTCTGCAAAGCTGTTGAGGGGCTCTTTGAATCTTCAAAGGTTGAGAACCATCAGCTTCGGGTATGGCCAAATGAGTAGATTCATGGGAATTTTCTGCGTGTCAGCTGCCCTGCCATGACTGCCTGTGTGCAGCAGTTGGTCGGCCCCAGTCACCCCTTGGTTAATGAAAGCTGAAGAGTGGCATCTTAGCCTTTAATAAAACAGAACCTGGACACTTGTGCTGGAATTCTGAATAGACAGGTGCATCTGCCCTCAATAGGCTTTATTATAGACCTCACCACTAGTTGGTGGGAGAACAGGTAACAGCCTGCTTGTGTCTAGCAGGGCTGTCCAACTTCTGGGCACCTGGAGACCACATGCTGCATGAGTTGCAGACCTGGGGTCCAAAGCTTCCCCACCTTTCCTCTGTCACCATATGGGCAGCCACCCTCTTCCAGCCCCACATGCCATGTAGGCAGCCCAGCTTCCTTCTGCTATGTGCACAGCACCCATACCCTGCTCCTGACTGTATGCATTACACGAGCAGCCCAGCTGCAGCACGCTACATGGCCAGCACGGCCTCTCTCTGCTGCACTGCCCTGCCCCAAGAGTGGGGCAGGAACCAAAAAGAGGGGGAGCCTGGCCACCATGAGCACAAGAGTAGTGGGCAGAGTGGCAGCCCTGGCCTATAGCAGATGTTACTCCAAAAGAGCCGCAAACATGAGACACATGCAGCAATGCAGTTTTGTCTCTTTCATTTCCTCTCCTGGGGTAATTCCACATCAGAGTCATGTAAATGATGCTGGTATAAGATTATACTGCATCTTAGCTTTCGGCAGCAGGCAGGTAAGAGCAAGCACACAAACCAGTTACCAGAGAACAGTGGAGGTGTGGTAAATTCCTTCCCCCATCTAATTCCTTGTTTGCGTGTCCATACTCTGCCAAAGACAAAGATATCAAAGCTGGTAGTACATTTCCAAAGGCCCTTGCTCTCAGTACTTGTCTGGTTAGTTAAGCCTTCCAACCTCTTATGTCTGGGTTTGTCTTCCTGTGTCCAGGACTTGGCCAAGCAGCCAAATCATCTGTAGAGAGCTGGCTGGAAAGCAAATTGTAGTGGCTCTGCTGCTATTTATAGAAATACTGCCCATTAGAGCTGCAGCCTGACCCGGGACTCTGCCAAGAATCAGGAGACCTCAAATTGTACTTTTGGGGTTGCAAAGGCCAGCTTTAGGTGGCTGCAGAGTCAAGCTTCAGAGAATTTCAGTGACAGGCTTCCAGTTCCGCAGATCAAGCATACATTGACTTCTTTTAGGGATATTTTTGCATTATAACTTTATTATAATGAAAAATTGGATTATCCTGAATACTTCCAGATTCCAAAACATGGTGGATTTTGTGGCCAGCATCTTTTGCATGCAGTGGACTTTTAAGTTCATGAGAATAGACCATTTGTCTGTGTCTGCATGTGCACTCAGTGTGCTCTATCATGATACTGAAAATAAGGCAGTGAAACAATGGAGGTGTTAATAAGTGGCAATAAACTCATAACATCACTAGGCTAATAACCTGAAAGTATAAGAATCTTTCTGTAGTATGGGTTTATGCTGTAAGAAGTTCTGGAATAATTCAAGCTTAAACCTTTAACAGATGAAAGTTAATGGAAAATTCCCCTGCTTGCATCTTCTTATACCCCCATCTCAGTTCTTAAGAAGATGTCTCCCCATTGTCTTAAGGAAAAGTTATTGTCCTATTGCAGGAGAGTTTGTTTTGCTTTGACAAGAGATAACTAGAGCTAACACTTGACAGAACAAAGTCAGTATCCCTGTGTTGCTACATTTTAAGGTAGCTCAGTTCTTTTTTTCTTTTTGCAGGTCTCCTTGAGCCTTTTTGGACAGGGCAAAATATAAATAGAATGAATGAATGAATAGTATAGTAGCACAAACAACAGTAGTGCTAGTCCAGGTAGGGTCTAGGTTCAGTTGTAAGACTTGAATGATTTAATGCAGGAATGTCAGCTGAGAGACTTACCTCAGAAGCCTGTTTTCATCTTTTCAGCTGAACTTTTTATTTCACAAAATAATCTTCCTGTATATGTTAGACAATAAATGACTATCCTAACCTTATGTTAGGCTACTTAATCTCATATGAAAAACTGATTTATTCTTTCCTGTGAAGAAAACGTTGTTCATTTTTTGATGTGAGAAAATGATGAAAAGTTTTAAAAACTTGCTGACTCTAGTTTGGCTCTTGAATATTGGATGATCTCCTTCACTGAGGCAGCTGCTGTTGTTAATACCCTAGTTATCCATACTATTTATTGAAAAGATCTTTTTTTTCAAATTTGGCTTTTTTACTTTTTACAAAATGTTTGTTGTGTAGAATTCATTGACAACTCCAAATTTTAAGTTAAGCTTAAAGACTGTGTACACCAATTTACTTTGTACAAAGTTCTAAGAATTCTAACTCATTGATAAATTTAATATTTGACAGAGAATATCTTAAGGCATAAACACAAGGTTGGAAAAATAAAATTAAGTTTTAGTATTGCTTTTCACTTTTGGTCATTCCAATTTTTTTCTTAAGTTTTAAATGAGTGCAATACATTTTGTTCCATATATTTCTGTGCAAATAGCTTAGATGCTGTGAATTCTGTCCATCCAATAGCTGTTTTGAAAAATAAAAACAAATAACAAATATGGATAAAGGCACATAAAGCAGTTTCCTTTTTCTGTAGAACTCTTAAGCCATGAAGATGCAACCACGCTAAATGATGTGAAGACATTGGTTCAGCAGCTATATACCACCCTGTGCATTGAGGAACACCAACTGAACAAAGAGAAGGAGCTGATTGGGCGGCTAGAGGAACTCAAGGAGCAGCTAGCACCTCTGGAAAAGGTGGGAAGTGAAATTTGCTTTGATAATTGCCAGTTTTTGATTCATAGAGCCTTTAACTTTTTTTGGTTTTAATTGAAGGAAATCTATTTTAGATGGTAAAGTTAATTGTACTGAAAGCTCTTGGTAAAGACTACTAAAACAATGGACTGATATTTTTTACTCGGTGGATTCAGGCCTCCTTTTTGTCTTTTCTTTATTTTTTGGCTTGGTTTTCTTATAGAAATTAGACTTCCTTTTATCTGCATAGACTTGGAATTGAATTTACTTTTTTATTAGGTACTTGCTGACCCCCGTTTTAAAAGGATGCTAGTTGTCCAGCTGGCCTCAGACACCCAGGCTAATACCACATATTCTTGAAAAAAGGCGCTCTCAATTTTACAGCCATTTTATTTGGGTTGATATGAGAGGGAAAAGCACAAATACAGCAAGCAGAAAACAAGCAAAAATTATTTTTATGCATATCTATTATTGCATCAAAATACTGCTTTAAGCAAGATATGATGGTTGGAGCAAACTCTGGTGGTGGCCATTAGAATAAACCAAAGAACAAAACATGAAGGGGAGAAGGGGAAAGATTGAACATAGTGTATAAAATTCCACACACCAAGACTAAATGAAAAGTAAAATACAACTGCATATGTATTGACACAATATGGTTCTGAGGATATAAGACACAGCCCATCTTTGTCTGCAGGTCAGGATGGAAATCAGCAGGAGAGCAGAGAAGAGAACCACCTGGGTGCTCTGGGGTGGGCTGGCTTACATGGCTACTCAGTTTGGGATTCTGGCCCGGCTCACCTGGTGGGAATATTCTTGGGACATTATGGAGCCAGTCACCTACTTTATCACCTACGGTAGCGCTATGGCAGTGTACGCTTACTTTGTAATGACACGTCAGGTAAGATTGCATTTTTTGCTGTTGATTTTTTGTTAAGGCGTATTGTCCTAAAATTTTAAAAAGCATGTCCTTCAGACCCCACCCTGCCCATTTTCACACTTTATTTTTCACTCTCCACTGCTACGAACTTCCTTGATTCATTGCCATCTGCAGTAAAGATTGTTTAAATGATTGAGGAACATTTGAGAAACTTATCTCAGGTTTTTCTGCATCTGCACCAGATGCTAAGAACTGAGATGGTTGTTGGTCTACTTTGACAAAATGAAGAAGTGACCTTTGGTGCTTTCTCTGCATGGAGCTAGACTCCACTCAAGATCAAAGTAGGTTCCAAGTCCTCAGACAAAGAGGAGTATTGTCTTCTGTGAGAAGCAAAGGCAGATCAGCAACAGGAATTTTCTAGTCAGAAGAGAGTTGTTACCTCATTTTACTTCTCCTGTTCAGAATCCTAACTGTGCCATCCTCTGAGGTACCATGGCATCATTACTGGCACAAACCAAACCAGCTGTCTCTCATGAAGAGACCTTAGTATGGCATCAGGTGCTTAGCACCAGTCATTACAGTATCAGCTTCATTGGTGCTGCTCTTCAACACATTTCCACATTAAATTCATTAGGCATCCCAAAATCCACATAATATCTTCTGACGTAGTGGCTGCCTTTGTTTGAACATTTTATCCCCATCCTGTCTTTTTAGGAGTATGTCTATCCAGATGCCAGAGACAGACAGTACTTATTATTTTTCCATAAAGGAGCCAAAAAGACTCGTTTTGACCTAGAGAAATATAATCAACTCAAGGATGCAATTGCTCAGGTAAGGAGAAGTTTTGTGGGAGTAAAACCCAGTGAACTCACCCCTTACTTATGCTGTTTGACCACTTTTGGTGGATGCACTTTAACCAGAAGGATGCTAGCCTCTCTCTCGTAAGAAAGTATGCTTGAAACCTCAATTATCACAGCCCTGAAGAAATAATTGGTTGGATTTAGTGCTCTTATTAGAGATTGCACCTTGGTGAAGGATGGAACTGTGGTTTAAAAATATACCCTGAAAAACAAGCCATGTGTCTGACAAACCGTTGATAAACCTGTATCTCTTTTTTTAAGTGCATGAAGCAATTCATGTGTAAGATGATATAATTCAAGATTTTCTTCTCTCTATGCTTCTACCCACCTACACAGCAGATGGATCAGAATGAGGGATGAAGATTTTTTCATCCCTCAATTCGTGTCTGCCTGTGGCAATTAACATGCACTGGATTGCAGATTGGGGTGGGGGTGAGAATCAAAAAAAAAGAAAAAAAGAAAAGAGCTCCGTTGATGGCACGCAGGGCAGGCGCATGTTCTCCCCTGATGGTGGTGAAGCACCTTCTGGTTGTTTCTCCTACCTGTCCACCTTCTGGGGAAAAAGCAGCTGCTACAGAGCTTTTTTCTCTTCCCACAGGAGTCTATTTTCACAGGAGGAGGAGGGATCGACAGGAGGCCTGCTGCTCAGTGAAATTCTGCTCCCTACTCTCCTCTCTGCATCCCTTTTAGCAGTAGTTAGCATGGGACAGGAGAAAAGGGATCCTGCTGGAGAATTCCAGGCCTTAGAGAGGAGGGGTAGCAGACATTAGGAGCTGCATAAGGAAGAGGGGTAGACACATCTGAGGCAGTAAACTTCCTGTTTTTCTCCCTGTGGTCTGTGTCATCTTCATTAGGAGCTCCCTGGAACAGGGATCAGTATGTGTTTTGCATCTAGAAGAAGAAAGATAAACTGTTTTTTAGTAAGTGGAATGATGGAAAGACTTTTTCCTACAGTTTTCATGTAAACCTCCTGATTGCTAACATTCAAATGACTGTACTAGGTGAACCAGCATTTGTGTATAGTTTGCCCTCTGAAACAAAAACAGGATATAGTATGTGTCCATATGACATCTCCTTGGGATATACATGATCAGGAATTATGACTAAGTGTGCTTTTGAGAAGACTATGGATGAATGGTGGGGGTGGTACTATTGTTATTATTGGACACTAGTTTGCTGAGTGGATGCTGTCTTCTGTTTTACTCTATTGCTGTATTTTAATGATTGAACAGCTGAGTAGAACATTAGGTGCATAGTTCCTTCAGTGGGTGTCTGGAATACGTTTCACTTACTCTTGGACCGTGATAGACCTTTTGGATATTTACAGGGGACATGGAGGAGAAGAAAATAAGTCAGCATCATGGGAAGATTGTTGGTCTGGTAGAAGTATTTAGGAGGCTTTTTTATAATTTATCTTTACTTTTAGGCAGAATTGGATCTTAAGAGGCTTCGAGACCCACTGCAAGTTCACCTGCCTATCCAGCAAATTGATGATAAAGACTTATCAGCAAAGAAGCTCTGAACCCCGGCAGAAAAAACCTGTTCATAGCTCTTGCCTTTTTAATTAAAGCATTGCAGGTGGAAGCTGGGCGGTGGTGCAAGGGTGGAGGGTTTTTACTGTTAATTAAAAAATAAAAAGGACCATGGGAAAAAATATTTTAAATCCGAAGATTGGGCATTGTGGAATGCTGGTTTCGAAAAGGGCTTGGCAAATTCACCGTCACATTCAAATGTTTGTGTGTGGATGAAAATTATATACAAATACAACATTGGGGGTTTTCATAAACAATGTAATGCTGGGGAGTTCTTCCAGTTTTGCAGGGTCTGCCTTTTGATAATGCACCAGCAGCCTGCTCAGCTTTATTTTTAATTTCCCTTTTCCTGATTTTGAGATGTACCAATAACAGATCACTCCAAAAGATAACAAAATAGAAAAAAAATCCCACCAAGCCACCTGGAGCTATGACTGGTGATCAGAACTTGTGCTCTACACCATTAATACATGCACTTCTGATTGGACTTAGTCTTTTATAAAGTTACTGTAAGACTGCTTTCTACTGGAAAACCATGAGCATCCCATCCTCTGCCAGCCCCCACACACTCCACTGACTTCTTCCAGTACTGGTTTGTAAGTGATCGGCTTTAACCAATGACAAATGAAACAAATGAACATTTGATGATTGACACTTTGGATTATTCCTTAACTTCTTAAACCTTGACATGTCCCAATGCCCTGGATCTACTTCTAAAAAATCAATGGCAACATTGCATGAAAGGTTTTTTTTGTATTCAGTCTTGAGGGCAAGGGGTCCCTCTCCTCCCGCCCCAAATCTGGTAGCCACCTGGACTATGAAATCATGAAGGTTTGAAGGATTAGGCAGTTTGCTTCAAATTCTGACTTTTACTTAACTAAGATGTCTCGAACATTTATAATTGACCTGAATATTTGACTGCTTCTATAAGAGGATAAATGGTCTCCTTTGTGGTCAGAGCGTCTTACCTGGAGGCTTAGCTGAAGGCCAGAGCTTCTGTTACTGAAGACGCACCATTTCACCTCATTTTACTAGCCCTCCCTTAATTAAGGTAGCTTTAAATGAACACTCCAGTACCCAAGGGTCAGATATTCTTAAGGGTGGCTAATTGCATATGTCCTTAAATAAAAGAAATTGAAGAAGGGAAATCAGTTTATTGTCCTCCACCTCATCCAGAACCAGATGATTTCCAAGCAGATTCAATATATCTGTTCAAAATGGATCGGTCTCTCTAGCTTCCTGTTAATAAATACCGTGGAGGCAAGATGGAGGTAGGAGAAAAGCGCTAAGCTTAATACTCTAAAATGCTGGCTGTTTTCTATCGACAGTTCACTACTACTTTTCACTGTGTTGTGGCAAGAAGCTCCCATTTTTCTTGGAGAACAGTGTTTGAAAAAAAGAAAAAACAAAAAAAACAAGCAACCAATATTAACCATACGCCAGGTGCCTTGCAGATGTGGAAACACAGACGGGATTGTTGCTGCCTCTCCTCACTCGATGGCATGTTGGACTGAATGGATGCATGTTTCTAGTTTTTTTCTCTTCACCTTTTCCCCTCTGTCTTTGAGATTTAATTATGTTGTGTGAATTATTTTTAATCTGTTTTATCCTGATTCTGTGCTGAGTTTTAAAGGGAAACAAATGAACACAGACCTGTAGCTGAATCCTTGGTGTGTGTTTTAAGGTGAGGGAGGGGGCATGGAGAAAAGTCCTTAATTAAAATAAATTTAAAAAAAAAGCAAAATACTGAACATGTGTAAAATCCTGTATCATTTATGAAATATGTATAAAAGAGCAATGTACTTCTGGAACAATAAATAACTATTCAATTTTTAAATTCAAGTGTTCTTGAAAAACTTCATTTTCCTCAATTGAGGATAGGACATCCCTTGTGCTGCAGCTGAACTCCCAAGTTTCTCTCGTTTCTTTGTTTCATCAAATTGCATTTCTCTGACCTTACCTTGTTGAGATGAGGCACTTGTCTTCCTGCTGAAGCTCAGTTGAAGTTTTCCTTGCCTTATGTCACTTGTGAGAGCCATCAATCATGCAACTATAAAGGTGATGCTAATGATTCTGTCTTTATTGTGGCAGTATAAAAGCTTATTGTGAAGGCTGAGAAAATCTGGAGATATCTCGCAGACTTCAAGGTCAGAATGGGTGCCTATACACATGCTCCCAGGGTGGGGGTAGAGGGTTAGGGTTGTGGGGGTATTTTAATTAGGGAGGCTCTCAGGAGCCACTCTGATTAAAGTGCCCACAGCATCTCATATTCAGTGTCCCATGTTTCAAAATAGTGGCGGGGGCACTTTTAACTAAAGTTTGTCAAATGAGCTTTAGTTAAAGCGCCCCCACCACCATTTTGAAATGCAGAACACCAAATACACGAGACATGCTAGAGCTCAATCTGAGTCTGCTCGGACACGTTCTAATCAGAATGCATCAGAGCACATGTAAAAGTACTTTATATAGCTAGGAGGCAGCTCATCCAGAATGCAGTAGCCTGCATTCTTAAAGACATCAGGTCATGTCAGCATATTTCAGTTTGAAGAAACTGTAGATTTTCTTTGGGTGAAGTTTCAGAAAGATTGAAAGGGTTTTTTGGAGGATGGGAGGTTTGTATGTTCAAGGTCTTGAATGGCTGTGATCCAGTTCTTGACACGTCGGCCTCCTCCTGACAACTGTTCATTAACATCAGAATCAGAGGTCAGTTAGTTTGTCTTGGTTATGATCTCAAAGCATGAGGTGCCAGAATGTTTACATTGTGTGATTGTGGAATTCATTGTTGGCAAGTTTTCAGATTCCAGTCCCCCATTAGAATATAAGACCCAGTAGAGAGTATGCCTGCTGAGTTTGTATTCTTTAATTGCTGTCAATATTTATGAAATATCGTTTTTAAAAAGCAGTCTATTGTCTAGTGCCACATATAGAGAAGTCCCTTTTCTTTCCTAGACATACTCATTGTACTTTTGCTAAAGGATTGATCCTAACTGGTATCCAGAGGTATTTAGAACCTTTCTGCACCTGCCACTAAAATCCCTTTTTCCAAAACCAGGTAAGATCGTAAAAAAACCTTTTCCCCTTATGACTGTTGCCATTCCAGAGGAGAGGTGGGGAGGAAGGAGAGAGGATTTTAATGATTCTGCAACTGTCTGCTAGAATAGTTGACTGATCTGGTGTTTGTCAGTTATAGCTGCCTAAAGGATATCCCTTTCAACTAGTTATCCTTGCATACCTAGCCCTTCTAGAAGCTCCATCTAGTTACCATATGGAAAACAAGGAAGGTACCATTGCCATGTTTACTACCTGAGAGGTACTAAAACTCAAAGCTCCTATCTCCCTTTTTTAAGTTACCCTTGGCTATTAAAAGCATGGTGCAGATATTCTTTCATTTTCTCCTCTGTATCCTTGAGCAACAGCACCAACATTTTATGTTGCATTTCATATATGTCATATAAAAGCCAAGTACACAATCATGAGATTTCCAACTGGTACCTTTTATTTCAGTGGAGGTAATGCAATGCTGCATGCACATAAACACTTGTAGGAAGATCACAGCAATGTGTAGATGTCTCAGAACCAATTGCTACTCATGTTCAGCTGTTTCTTCATCTTGAAAGTTCAGGTCTCATTTGCTGAATCAATGGGCTCTGTGCTTCTCACTTCCAATATGCATAATCCTTTGAAGGCATGTTAGGGGTAGTGTTCACTATTTCTTTCCTAACCCTACTGCTTTTTCCATTTTGTTGCTTATTTTCCTATTATTTACATTTGCCTCTGCCCTGTAGCCCTTTCCCTCTTCAATAACCTTAATACCTACAAGGAGGCAATTTAGAGGTACAGGACAAGCAACTCCAGCTGTCACAAGCAGATACCTTTCTTTAATCTCCCACATCAGCTCCAGCATACATCTATAATGGGTGTAAAACCCATTTGGCCTGAGTGTTCCTGAGCTGGTCAGTGGGCTGGACTGGGACTGACCCCGTGCCAAGCAGCCACAACGTTGGGTCCAACCACACAGCCTGCGGCCACCCCTGACTTACACAAAGCATGCACTGCCAATGGCACTTAGGCTTTAGGACCTGGTGCTACAGGCAACACAGGGGCATATGGTGCCACATGCAGCCCACATCCTGGAGCCCTTGTGTCCAGTGAGCCCCAGGCCAGGATTTGCTGCCCGTGGCATGTGTGGCTAGATCAGCTACACACACTGCACAGAGCAGGAGGCACATGTTCTGAGCAGTGCACCACTGATCAGCTCTATGCACTGGCTTTGGGTCCAGGGGCCACTACATGAAGTGTGCACCCCTGGGCTGTGTGCAGCGCATGTGACAGGTCCAGCATGACATGCAGCACATGCTGGACCCAAGGCTTGCTGTACCCACAGTTCCTGGGGCCGGCATAGGGCATATGTAGTGCTGGGCCCAGCTTGCATGCTGCACGTAGTGCATGGGGCTAGGGTCAGGGCTAGCACATGGGGTCAGTCCAGTGACCAGTGGGCCAGATCCAGCCTGTAGCATGCAGGGCTCCCACAGCCTGTCATGAAATCCTGAAGCTGTTGATGACCCAGTGGCTAGGTACAGACAGTCTAAACCCAATCGATTCAGTCTTTGCAGGTTAGTCTAAGCCGGGGGGTTTCAACCTTTTTTAATAAGTGTACCACTGGCAGCCACCTTTTTAGTAAGTGTACCTTGGGGGGAGGGGGGGTGGCGAGCAGCCAGATACGGAGTGAGGGTGTGGCAAGTGGCAGCAGCGCAGCATCTGTGTGGCCCTGTGCTCACCCCGCCCTGGCCCTGCTCCTGTGAGGCAGCAGTGCGGGGTGGCAGTGCTCTGTCCCTGCCCATCCCCATGTACCCTCTGGGACCTTTCAAAATATCCACAGGGGTTCACGTGCCTCCGGTTCACAAGCCTTCGTCTAAACTGCACAGATTAAATTGAAACAGAAGTGAACAGACATTTACCTTTGATTCAGGACATGTAGCCACATGCCTGCAGTGGCTCAGGGCAGAAGCCAGGGGGTGCTAGAGTCAAGGCTCTTTGGCTGTGTGTTCACTTCCTCTTCCTGCTGCCCCCGAGGTCTCTGGGATTTGCAGTCCAGAATGACAACAGCGAGACTCTGCAGGGTTGCTCGTCACTTCTTCCTGCTTCCAGGTGCCTCTGGGATATGTAGTCCACAGTTGCAGCCAGCAGTAAGTTTGAGCAGGGGAAGGGTTATTAACCCCCCCCTCCCAGACTCCAGCTGGGGTTTGCCTGCCTGCCTGCCTGTCTTCCCTCCCACCCCGCCACAGACTGAGCTGTGTCCCCAGCTGGGCTTCCCCCCCGCCCCCAACTCCCTTGTCAGCCAGCCCTCACTGCTCCAGCTAGGGAGCAGAGGTAGCGCCAGCCCTGCTCTCTGGAGCAGACAGCACAGCCCAGCCCGGGGCTGCAAAGCATGATGGGATGCTGGGGAACTGTGGTTTAACTTGAATCAGGAAGGGGTCTGGGATAGAAGCTGCATAAACTGGTTTGACCCCAATCAGTTAAGTCTGATAAGTCTAATACTACATTCAACCAGGTTTATCTTAAACCAGTTTCAGACATTTTGAAACTGGTTTATGCGCACTGAGCTTCTGTTCTGTTACAGGTTTAAACCCGTTTCTGATCACTTAAACTGGTTTATGTGTAACTTCTGTCCCTAGCCACAATCTCTTGAGCCATATCACTGCCAAGCAAAGGGACTATATTTCTTCCACTAGCTGGGCTGGTGGAGCAGCTTTATTTGCATTTTTCAAGGTTGCTTTTTTTTAGTTGAAAGTCCCTTGTTCTATTCCCCAAGCTGCTTTTGGACAGTTACAGTAGCCAGTGGCTTTAATATTGTTTTGTTTTGTGCTCTCTCTCTCTTTTTTTCTTTTTTATTAAAAATGTCTTTGATAAGCATGTCCTACTTTCATTAGTCCTTAGAAACTAATAGCCTTATTAATCAATCCTGATTTCACACTGACATTACTCTATTTTTTAAAAATCCCTTCATAGTGCTTAGGGTCGGAAGGGACCGAAACAGATCATCACCCCCTGCCCCGGGTAGGAACAGGTGCTGGGGTCATATCTCCCCAGCCAAATATCTGTCCAGCCTCCTCTTGAAGACTACCAAGGTAGGAGAAAGCACCACCTCACTTGGGAGCCCATTCCAGAGCCTGGCAGCCCTGACTGTAAAGTAATGTCTCCTGATGTCCAGCCTGAACCTTCTCCCTAACAATTTGTGGCTGTTATTCCTAGTAACCCCAGGTGGTTCCCAGGGGAACAGAACCTCCCCCAATTCCTGATGGTCCCCCCGGTGAGTTTGTAAATGGCCACCAGATCCCCTCTCAGCCTTCTCTTGTGAAGGCTGAATAGGTTCAGGCCCTTTAGCCTCTCTTCGTAGGGCCTGCCCAATGCACCTTGACCATGCGAGTGGCCCTCCTCTGGACCCTCTCAATGCTAGCCACATCCCTCTTGAAGTGCGGCGCCCAAAACTGGACACAATACTACAACTGTGGCCTGACCAATGCCGCGTAGAGATGAAGGATCACCTCCCTGGATCAAATCCCTTTTGAACATGTTTAGCAGAATGCCAGCCTAGAACAGTATTTGATATCCAGAAGATGGTAGATTTTGATTCCCAAGTCTAAAGTATTGGAAAGGCAGGTGTCAGCACGTTGAGTTAGCACTGTGATCCAGTGGACAAGCCACTGAAATAGTTGTACTACTGACTTGCTTTTTGATCTTGGGTAAGTTGTTCATGTTTTGTCATCATTCCTTCATCTGCTGTTAATGCTTGTTTCTCTTTGTAAAGTACTATGAGATATAGGGATGAATGTCATCAGTTGAATAGTAAATACAATTTTTTCCTGTTACAGGAAGGTAGTAGTTCCTTGACTATCCTATACTGGGAACCAAATGCATTGTTCTGTTATGACTTGTCTTTTAATATTGCACTAGAAGCTTAATGGATTCTTTTTTCTTCCCATTTTGGGTGCTTTCAGTTCTAGTGACAGTGGCAAATCAAAGGCTGTAAAAATGCGTAAGTGAATTCAGTCTGGGTCAACCATGAGTGCTCTGTCCTGGGACAGCTTGTTTACAGAAATAAAGGCTATCTATGAGAAGTCCTTGACATTCACGTAATCAGTCGTGGCAGCCTGTCTGGGCTTATCTGGAACATACATCCTCAACTTAACTGCAGACAGGGAATCTGCACACATGTCAGACTCTTAATTGCTTTTCAGCAGCAGGAAGTACTGTTTTGCTCCCTTCTTCCCTTCTTCCCTCACCTCCTTCTCGTCAGGCTTGCCAGGATTCCTTTTGCAAAAGGGGATTTCATTAGTTCAAACAAGCATCTCTACAATATTTCCTACAAACTTCTGTGAAAGGGGGGGGGGGGGGGGGGTAGTTCTAGCCGGAGTCTCTAAAAGTCAGTCTTGGCAACCACAAATGGTGCAGTGAAAAAATACCCATTTAAATAAACAGCATGATTTTTTTTTCCAATCTAAGTATGCAGGAAGGGTGATCTCCTGGTTTGAGGTTTGTGAATCAAACAGCTTGTGGCTTTGCAAAATCCCTGAGTTTTGGCAACTATCTGCAGAATTGTATAATTGGAGCTTTATAGCTGGTCATACATCAAACAACTCGGCCATTTCCAGTGTGCTTAGCTGACATGGGCTCATCTTGGGCACAAAATGCTTCATTGCTCAACAGCACTCAGTCAACACAGGGAATAGCACTGATGAACTCTGAACAGTTGGTAGCTTATGGAAGTTTCTTGATCAGACTTCACAAGTTATGCTAAGCAAACTACACTCCCACTAGATAAGGAGCTCTGTATTTTCACCCTCCTACCCTACTCTAGAAGTCTACCTACATATACCGGTAGTTCCAAGGAAGCCTAGAGACCTGCATCCTCCCAGTTGGGCACCATTCTAGTTCCTCTGATTTTTTTTTAAGACCAGTGGCTGGACTGCAGGAAGGGGAGGTGCATGCCAAAGATGAGTGTACTAATGGAAAAACTCCATATGGTGGTGGCTTTCCCAGAACAGGCCTCCATACTGAAAACATTGAGAGCACATTGGATCAAATGCAGCATAGATTCATAGATGTTAGGGTCGGAAGGGACCTCAATAGATCATCGAGTCCGACCCCCTGCATAAGCAGAAAAGAGTGCTTGGTCTAGATGACCCCAGCTAGATACTCATCTAACCTCCTCTTGAAGACCCCCAGGGTAGGGGAGAGCACCACCTCCCTTGGGAGCCCGTTCCAGACCCTGGCCACTCGAACTGTGAAGAAGTTCTTCCTAATGTCCAATCTAAATCTGCTCTCTGCTAGCTTGTGGCCATTATTTCTTGTAACCCCCGGGGGCACCTTGGTGAATAAATACTCACCAATTCCCTTCTGTGCCCCCGTGATGAACTTATAGGCAGCCACAAGGTCGCCTCTCAACCTTCTCTTGCGGAGGCTGAAAAGGTCCAGTTTCTCTAGTCTCTCCTCGTAGGGCTTGGTCTGTAGGCCCTTAACCATACGAGTGGCCCTTCTCTGAACCCTCTCCAGGTTATCCGCATCCCTCTTGAAGTGCGGCGCCCAGAATTGCACGCAGTACTCCAACTGCGGTCTGACCAGCGCCCGATAGAGGGAAGTATCACCTCCTTGGACCTATTCGTCATGCATCTGCTGATGCACGATAAAGTGCCATTGGCTTTTTTGATGGCTTCGTCACACTGCCGACTCATGTTGCATCTTGAAAGCTTTAAATTGAATCCCCATATTAGATAAGAGGGATAATGGTTTTAGGATAATTTATCTGCTTTTAAATGCTTGAAACTGCAGTTTCAAGCTCCTTGAGAGGCTGGGATGGAGCCTTGTCTGTGTGACCTTTTAGGCTTCAGAGTTGCATAAATGTGTGAGAGGTTGTTGGACATTGATCTTTCCCATAAAACCATTGGAATACTACTAGTGTCAAGACTAATACACTACCTACTGAAATAAGAGCAGCAAGCAGTGAAACTAGACAGAAATATGCACTCCCCTAACATAAATGGGAAATTCAGTTCAAACGTGTCAGTTTTATTTACCCTTGAATTCAAGTATGAATCAGCCTCTGAAAGAAAATGGCAAATCATAACTTCCCTTGACTTGCTCTCTTCAGTTTTAGTTCTTCTGGGAATGAAAATGATCACCTATAAAGACTTATTTTTCCTGGTGCTGGCATGGCATATTTTAGTTTGACTTTGCCTTCTGTTATGCTTACGCAGTACTCTTAAGTGCCATCAAAATATTCAGTAAAAATGTGCCTTTCTGTTGGTGGGGACAACAGCAAACATTTATATAGCAATCTTTGTGGAAATAGACCTCAAATATTTGCAAACAACTTAAACACAGGACCCATTCACCATTGAAAAAAGTTATTGCTGGGCTAGAGCAGCCAAGTGTACAATCTGCAACATACCACTGACAAGGGAGTTTTCAGCCACATAGATTCTTTCTTCAGATACATCATAGCATCTTTATACCTGCAAAGCAGCCAGGTGCTCAGTCCTGTTTTTATTAAAAACTTCATTTTCCCTCTAATATAAGATTATATTATGTACTTCAGAAGGAGGAAGGGCTGAGTCAACCCAGATGAGCCTTGAATCTGTAGCTTCAGGGACTTCAGCTCCTGAATTAATCTGCACTAGAGCAGACCTGTCCCACAGGCTGGGGCAGAGCCTGTGCTAGCTGATTCTGGAGCTGCTGAGGGCCAGCTGAGCTTTGTTTGGTGAAGAGGGCCTAGTATATTGCACTTATTCCCTGAAAGGGAGCTATACAGCAGTTTTTTCAAATGGTACAAAGGGCCCACAGATGTTTAAAATGTGATAGTAAAACTGCTGAGTGGCCAAGCCTATTGGTATATAATGCAGTCTCACTGTAAAGAGGCTGAAACTGCTTCTGGTGCTGGAGACTAGCACTCTTGTGTCTCAGTAGGGTGCTGCCTATGCACTAGTTGACTCTACTCAGTACCGGGCACTGCAAAAAGTATAATGAGTACCTTGGAGTCATATGACTTATGGAAGGAGCAGAGATAAGTTAGCATACATCTGCCCTTCTCTCCCAACCCTAAGGGATGTCCGGGTGTCCCCTCATTAGAATTCCTCTCCAGATAAGATATGAGGGGTGTCACCGTAGGGCAGTCACTCAAGAAAACAATAGGGGGATGCATTTAAAAACAGAATTGATCAGTAAAAATATTCCTGTTGTCAGTAAATGGCAGAACTGCTTTCTGCAGGTCAAGGCTGATGTACCCTGCATCCCTTTAGCCTCTTCCTCTGATAAACCCTGCAGTACAGCTAGCAGAGCCAGTCTTCAGAAAGCTGGGGGTCGAAAACTAAAAGTCATAGAGAGCTGTAGTTAGAGGAGGAGAGCGAGAGAACAGCTGCAGACAGTTCAAAGGCTTCTTTGTTCAGGTGGCATCTTTGACTTGGCTGCGTGAGATGCTCCAGTACCTGTTTTTTTCCTTCTCTGTTTATGTCCAGTTACAGCCAATATCTTCAATGGGTGAGTAACCAAAGCTTGGCACTGCTTTAAGGAGCATCTGCATGCTCTATATTTCCAGGTTTATGCTGGGTGCCCTTATACACTATTTGTATAATTGAATAGTATACAGAAATCAGTATTCATATTATAGTTAGGGTGATTTTTACCATCCTTCCTGCAGAGGGAGTTTTCTGTCAAAGTGTACTCTTCCTCTGAGGGGACATCCCAAGTTTCTGTATCGTTAAGAAGTGGGGGAATTTAGTATTCGGTAACACTGGCTACAACAGGTAGGTATCATGCTAGTTTTTTTTCCCTCTGTTCTCTCAGTTAAGAGACATACTGCAGGCCTACAGTTTCATTACTTCTTCATCTCAGAGCAAAGACTGCCACTTACGTGATTCACGTAGGATTAAGCTTCTTCCTGAATGTCAGCCTCATGAATGTGATCTGTGTAAGGTAATGTAGATGTTGAAGTGTACACACAAATTAATGACTTCATTTAGCTGACAAACTTAAATGTTCAAAATGAAAGCTAATTTTGTAGTGTCCTGTTGACTATGGTGGGATTTTTAAATACTTAATGGAAAGGGAAGTCTAGGGAAAAAATCTGCAACTGCAAGCTCAGGACATCTATTTTGTCATAAAATAAATATTTTTGAATTTTGGAAAAGAAACGTAAAGGGTAAAAAAAATCCCACTTAAACCATTCACTTAGCTAAGGGCAGTGTCATTTGAGAGGAGGCTGCCTGTGCTTGACAGGGGTAGGGGTCCAGCAGCTCTTGGTCTGCAGATGGCTACAGCAGGCTGCAGCTTTGTAAGGGCAAAGGACTATATAAGCATCACCTGTCAGATACTCTCTGCAGCCTCAGGGGATGATGGGCATTCCCCCCCCCACCCCTGTGGTGCTGCCTTGTTAATATGGCATTTCTCATCTTTTGTTTCCGGACAGACCACAGCATTTTCCATTCATTTAATCCCATCTTTAAATTAATTAGTGTCTGTTAGCGAGCTAACAAGTATTTTCTGATCCCATTGAGGAAGGACTCTGTATAAATGTTAAGCGTGTTGTAGGGATCTTCAGTGCTACTCTGCTGGGAAGCTGACAAGGCATTTCTCATTTTGCTGCATTTTTGTTGCTAATACAGAAAGCTTTGGTTCTTAGTCAGTGACCTTCCCTAAACCCAAAGCAAATCATATTGTAGAAACCTATGCAAGAAACAAGTGTGGGTTAACTGTGAAGAAAGTAGTATCTTCAGTAGTATCTATTCTGAAGTGCTTCCATGAAATTAGTTTCTCCCTCTAGTAAGAAAAGATGGGCTGGGATCCCTTAAATAACATCCAAGTCTGCCCCTATTTTGGAGGCACAGTGACCTATTTGAGAATGTGTATAAAATAGTGATGTTTGTGTGGATGGAGCAGGTGGTGGAGATGGGTAGGTAAGGGGATGCAGAAAGGGAATCACAATATGACTCTCACCAGGGATTCCTAGTGAGATCTCCTCCCTGCAGCTCTTAGCTGGGCAAAGCAATATGCCTGGCATCAGTAAGTTTTATATGAAATCTGCTGCTCTGCACATGATTTCAGTGCAGTTGCAAAAAAAGCTTTAAAAGCTTTTCTGTCTAACGAAGCCTGCTTTCCTATGGCTCCAACTCACAGCTTAGCAGCCCTCTGTCTCCTGCAGCTGCTGCTGCCCTTTATGCTGTACTCAAGGCCAAATGAGACTGTCGACTGTCTGAGATTGCAGATGGTGTAAGGATGTTTACTGAGAGATTCCCTGAGGATTCTTGTTACGCTTAGGAAGGGGTAAGGTAGCATTTCAGTGAAACAGGTATTCTCAGGGGATGCAGGTAAATAAAAGAAACTTCTAACTGTTTCTTAAAGCAGTCATAGTTTCCATGTCAAAGATTAACTGGATCATGCCATTTTTTGAGCTAAAGAATAAATAGCAAGCAGAAATTATAGACTGTAAGGATGTAGTAAAGAAAGAAATACAGTATGTTCTAGTTAATTTGGGATAATCATTAGTCTCCTGCTAGTGTATTCTCCCTAGTCAGGACAATATTAGCATAAGTTGTGCTTAACAAGGATATAGCCAGTCATGGTTTAGTGGTGCTTAATAGGGTATTAAATATATGTGAAAATCTAAACTCCAGTCTTTTTTAACAAGAGTTGCCAAATAAAGATTAAGGACAGGAAGGATGAAAATGAATATTATTCTTGCATTTTCATTTACTACAGCAATGTTTTTCCATTTAAATTATTTGTTCAGAAAGGTGTCTTTATAAAGACATTTTCTTAGTGTATTTGTTACATACACCCCTCCCACTGAAGTCAAAGGAACTTGCAGATGTTTAAGGAATATAGACACAAGCTAGATAGCATATGGCAGGGGTGTGCAATTATTTTGGACAGAGGGCCACTTACTTGAGTTTCGGCAAACCATCGAGGGCCTCATGACAGGCAGTCCAGGGCAGATTAATATACATTTTCTACATTTTTAGGGGCCCCATGAGCTGGATAGAATGGCCTGGTAGGCCGCATCCAGCCCCCAGGCCACATTTTGCCCACCCCTGGTGTATGGGCTTCCTGGGCATCCTGATCAAGGTATCCTATTACTTAGGTTTTAAGAACGTATATAAGGAAAGAGGACAACACAAAATGACAGGGAGCCTATTGTTGGTGCAGAAGAGATGAAACGTGTGGTCACACAAAATACAATAAACATATCGAGGCACATCAGGGGCTGGGGTTAGGTTGCTAGAGAAAATAGAACAAGGCCCTTAGGGCAGATGGGGAAAGTCCTTGTGTGTCTCCAGATACAAGCAACCTTCTTCCTCGTGTCTGCTTGAGGTGATGCTTGAGGGTGGGTTACATCATGCTGGGTTCTTATGACTGTTGCATGGCTATCTGTCATTTACATTTTAACGTACTATTGGTGGTAATGTCTGGATTATTCATATAGAAAACTAGTGCTTGATAAATACTTAATTGGACTATCACTGAATGGCTTTGTATGAATGATTATAAAAGCTGCAGAATTGATGTCTTTCTCCCCCTGAAGTCTATGGGAGAATTAACCACTAACTTCAATATGCTCAGATCCTTAATCAGAGCCTGGCAGTTGGATGAATGCCATGGAACTGATTCCTGGTCAGTTTGCATAGCCCACTCCGTTCTTGCTGCAAGCTTATGTATGTACAGGGTAAACCTCAAATCTGTTAAAGTTTTCCACTGCTGTGCTGCAGACCTATTATTCAGAAGGTAATCAACAAGTCAGTCTTTCTGTCTACTTGCTTTATTCATGTTGCTTGTTTTTAAAGCAATTAAGTATATTGTCCTCAATATTTCATACTTCTGGTAAGCAGGATGATAGTTTAGCTGACATCATTCTGTCTCCTCTTGGATCTCTGCCCATTAGGAATAATCTTTTATATTGAGAATATTTTTCTGCTTTCTGTAGTTGCCAGCCAGAAATGTGGTGTGATAATTGGTGGGCATTGTCTCTTGTCTTTTATCATGTCTCAGCCCTGGACCCTTGCTCTGCCTACATCAGCCTGAATGAGCCATGGAGGAACACCGATCACCAGATCAATGGTTCCCGGGATCGGCCCACCTGTGATAGTCAGATTGATGGGGAGTGGTATCGCTTCACTGGCATGGCTGGTGATGCCATGCCTACCTTCTGCATCCCAGAGAACTACTGTGGTACTCACGCCCCCATCTGGCTAAATGGCAGCCATCCTAGGGAGTCGGATGGCATTGTCCAAAGGCAAGCCTGTGCCAGTTTCAGTGGGAACTGCTGCCTTTGGAATAATACAGTTGATGTCAAGGCGTGTCCAGGCGGGTACTATGTCTACCGTTTAATCAAGCCAAGCGTCTGCTTCCATGCATATTGTGGGCGTAAGTAACCACTGAACTCCCCTCTTTCTGAAATAGCTTCTCTCTTGTGATTAACAACTGATGATGGGGTTGTTGATCTAAGAAGATTTGTATTACCCTTGCAAGAGAAAATGACTGATTTCTTCCCTGCTTGCCCAAAGATTTAAGAGATGAAGCAGCACAGACTAGGGGCTTGTCTATTAGTAAAGTTTCAGCAGGTTTAACTAAATCAATTAATTGATTTAATTGAAGTGGTGCAAAAATTAATTTAACTACATTTAAAACGGATTTAACCCTTGCTTAAGTCAGTTTAGTTTGCTTTGGTAAATCACCTAAGCAACGTTTGCAACAATAAATTTAGCTAATCTAATGGAAATTAGTTTTAAACCATAGAAATGGATCTTCAGTAGGGATGGTACCACTTGAACTGATCCATTTTGAGCAAGTTAAATCAGTTCAGTCTTTCTAATGTACACTCAACCTATACCTTGTGCACCTAACAGTACACATAACTCATGGCACTAGTAGTAGTAGTGGGCGTGTCAATACTTGCTATTTTCTTTTAATAGTGCATTTGTCATTCTGTAGATTTCTATGACATCTGTGATGTGGTGGATTGCCAGGGCTCGTGCCTGGACACTGGAGACTGCATGTGTTCTTTGGGGACAACACTAGGACCTGATGGACAGACCTGTCTTGGTAAGGACAGAAGTTAAGGAATATGGCTGGACACTAGCTAGGGTCAACAAGCAGAACAAAGTACTGATGTTTGCATTCTGTTCATTTCATAATTTGCCTCTCAATTACTTAAGAATAAAAGACACAACAATGGAGTAAAGTTTACCTCCTGCTGCTTGTAACAAGTCTCAGATTTATTGCTAGTCACCAATGGCCCCCCTCAGGTTTTGTTAAGCTGTTCTGATACTGAATAAGCAATTTTAGGATCATTATCCTGGTGACCCTGGAACCATAGTTGTTCCTGAGGCTGAATTTGTTTTCTCTTTGGTCCAGCAGCTGATTTAAAGAGCCACTCGGAGGGCAACAACTTTGCTGATGGTGACAGTGTCTCTTTAGAAGGCCTCTGTGAAGCCTCATTTGTATTCGGACACTGGCTCACTGATTGTCGTTAGAGACTTCCTCCACTGCTCTACTGAATTCCTTATTCTTTCAAGCCAGGTCACATTCACTGGCATAGTGCTACATGCTGAGATTTATGATACGATAGTCTTATTGTCCTTGCAGGGCCCTATCCAGGACTTGGGACTCAGTCTTTTCAAAAGCCACTGTTGTATTTTTAGGCTTAACTCTGCAAATATACTCACGGCCCCTTGCAGTTGAGAGTGGACCGATTTTATACCCCATCCCAAATGTCCTGCTACCTGCCACACCAGATGTGCATGGCAGGAGGCACAATGTTTGGGATGAGGCATAAAATTCATCCAATCCCGATCATGCCATTGTGGAGATGCCCCCAGTCTGATCCTGGAGATCAGGCAGGTAGCAGCTCTATCCTGAACCCAGGGTTTCCCCCAGGCCTGATCTATTCTAGACCTAATGCTGTCTTGAGTCAGGGCCATCAATCAGCTGATTGTTAGCCTCAGGGTCAGTATGAGACCTGGGGCTGTCTGAGGCAGGCTGACAATCAGCTGATTGTCAGTCTCAGCCCTCTGACAGTCCCCCAGGTCTGGCAGTGCTCCATATTCAATTTATGGTGCCATACAAATGAGCCACAAAGGCATTCAAAATATTTTATGGAGTATCTTTTTGGCTGGCTTGCCACTTTGCAGCATCATAAATTGGCTGAATGTGTAGCACTTTTAATGTTTATAGCACAATTAACACTCAATCACACAAAATTGTAATGTGCCAGGGGTGTTAGAACAGTGATTCTCAACCAGGATGCCGTGGCACTGTGCGATACTTTGAGATCCTTTCAAGGGTGCTGCAGGGTGGCACACAATGTCAGCATCTGTTGTGGTATTTCTGACTTCTTTGCAACAGAGGAGTTAATTGTTCTAGTATTTTTCTGTGGTCAAAGAACAAGTGAAAAGTAAAAGCTGGTAATTTCCAAGTTGAGCCTTGAGTCTGGACTCATTTAGTCTACAGAAGAGAAGACTGAGGGGGAATTTGATAGCAGTCTTCAACTACTTGAAGGGGGGTTCCAAAGAGATGGAGCAAAACTTCTCAGTGGTGGCAGATGACGGAACAAATGAGTTACCTAGAGGGCTGGTGGCATCTCCATCCTTGGAGGTTTTTAAGACCAGCTCGACAAAGGCCTGACTGGAATGACCTAGTTGGGGATGGTCCTGCTTTGAGCAGGGGGTTGGACTAGATGACCCCCTGAGGTCCCTTCCAATCCTCATTTTCTGTGATTCTATGGTTCTAAGGTATAATGTTGGATGTGAAAACTGAGAGGTGGATGAGTTTCTTACTAATGCTAGTCCACCAAATATGTATAGGTTCCTAGTCTGTAGACACAATAAATATTTCAAAAATGTGATGGGAAGCTTTTACAAATTAAAACTTAAACCATTACAAAGTACCTGGTGATAAAAGATTGATCAAATGTTTTCTTCTGACCTGAACTTTGCAGCTGGAGACAGACCTGAAGTTTGTCTGTGGAACAGCAACACATTACCCCTCAGAACTTGGCCAGTGTGAACAGTGTCAGGAGCAGTTGTTTAAACCATAAAGGGGGAAGAAAGGGGGAAAAAATATTTGGCACACATACAAAATTTGATTCCACAATAACTTTTTGCCATGGAGCTGTAGAAGCTGCAGGACTGCCTATTCTGCCTTTACTCCCAGCTGTTTGTTTGATTGGGTGCAATAATTATTTTCAATTAATCTTGTAAGTCATCTTGTTGTTCATAACTCAAATTGAAAGAGAGAGAATTCAGTGTGCAGAGGGTTTGCAGGATGGGGCCTATTGAGGCCACTGATGCATTTCACATAAGAATATTGGGGCACTGGTTTCTCAGCTTTGCCTAAGCATTTTGAAGCTTCCTTTACTCTCCAGTGATCAGGGTTGGATAGGATTTCAACACCACTGTTTCCCAGCCTGATAACCAGATGTTGCAACACCTCTTGGCAATTACATTTCTAGTTTCCTGCCTTCGGTTTCTAAAACCATATGGCTCACTCATCTTTCTAATGGATTTCCTCTGATCCAGGTTAATTTAAGTTCAGATTTATTTTTAACACAATCAGGCTGGCCTCAAAAATGTGAATGTTACCCATGTCTTTTTGTTCTCATTGAGGATATTCTCCCTTCTCCAGTCAGTTGTGGGCTGGGAATGCTACAGCAGTTCTATATGGCAGCACCAAGGAATCCTATCTACCATTGAACTCAGATGACTTTTTCATTCAGTTCATTAAGCATTTAGCCTACCTTAGGAATCCCAGTTCCAAACACTCGTCTTCAAATTCTTCTTTTACCTATCTATATGTTCATTCACAGACAAAAGTATGAGTTAAAGTCAGGATTTTGTCATCCTGCTGAGGTCAGGCTGCCCTGGTGATGAACCAATACACTCTTGGGTTTTATCTCTTGAGACCTAGGCTCAATCTTGGATTGAGTCACCATTGAGGTTAGTTCAGTGCTCTCCCAATTTAATCTGTTAAGGAATATCTGTTTCTTATAAGACTTCCATGGAATTTGACTCTAGGCAAGAGTCTCTGCTATGGGTTACCAGAACTAGAGGAGTAACTGCAAGTAACAGGGTCTGTTGAGGGACAATTACTGTGGCTCCTGAATCCCCCTCCTAAATATGCCTAAATATAAGTATGATTGCAGATCACTCCTGAAGCTGAGAACATCAGGCTCATGTCACTTGTAGAAGAACATGCCACCAGCTCAGATCTGGTGGTGTGGAGTTAGTGGAGGATTGCCTTAAAAGGCTCATCTCTCTTTACTGTGTTTAAAAGTGTGTTTTCCTTATTTTTAGCTTCTGTCAGCTGGTAAAAAATAACTAGCAAGCTGTTTAGAAGAAATCCAAGGCTAACTGACTGATAACCTCCTCATCTTGCCTTGACTTAGAAAAATCATCAGTCTTATGACTCACTGCCAGTAATTATTTTTCTCCCTTTTGATGTATTCATTATATGCAGACACAGATTAAATCCCTATGAATGAAAAGCTCTTCAGCACAAAAAGGAAAAGAAATGACAGCCTTCTCAGGGCTCTGTAAAGGAATTCAAAGGTGCCTCCTCCTTTTCCTTCCCATCTTAAAAAAAATTCTGCATAGATTCTGTGGGGAAGTCATCTGGAATTTAACACAGTCAGATCAGAACTATAACACAAGCTGTGTTTATTTGTAAATTAATTTGAATAAGAAAATCTTGAAATTTCATTTCAGTTTCAAGATGGACCTGGAGTTTTACCCAAAGTTCATTCCAGACAGCACCAAATGTCAGTGCAGATGCTTAGTCAGTTTGTGTTGTACCAACACTCTCTCTAGGGGACTACAACTGAACTGATTGTGTAAGGTAATGCTTTTTCCTTGTGACATCGAACCTTTGCAGCACAATAAGAAGTCTGAACAAGTAGAGCCAAAAGTCCAATTCTAGCTTCTTTTGCTCCTAGGTATATCTGGAAGGCTAATGATGCTAGCAGCTCTAGTGTGTGACAGGTTATTGACCCCTGTTGCCCTGACCAGCTCAAGTGAGGCGAGGCAAGAAAATGAAGTCCAGTGTCTTCCTAGAACTCCTGTGCAGCAGGCACTAGAAATTGCACGACGTATATTATTACAGTGTTTGTTTCTTGCAGACGAGAATGAATGTGAACAAGACAACGGAGGCTGCAGTGAGTTTTGTGTGAACCTAAAAAATTCTTACCGCTGTGAGTGTGGAATTGGGCGCGTGCTGGGAAATGATGGCAAAACATGTGAAGGTGAGTTAGAAGGCAGGGGAATGAAGACCCCAACATGGCATTTTAACTTTAAATAGTGTATTCTGCAGTTATACTGTACTTCCATAAAATTGCATCCATGAGATTGTTTCTAGCACAGGTAACAGCTTTACAATACTGTTTTTCTTAGCATCTAGCAGCTAGTGTGGAATTTACTCGTTACTATAATATCTATTAGTAATTTTTATTATTGAAACCCTTCCATAAGGGTGTTATGAAGAAGTTACATTATTGTTTTCAACCACAGTGTGTGTGCGCATGTGCGCGCATGCGCGCGCGCACGTGTGTACACATGCTGGTGTGTTACTAGTTATTAGCAGATATGAATGAGTGTTATCCTGTGAGGGGAAAAGGAAAGGAGTATTACTAAAAAATACATGTATGTGGTTCAGAATATGTATCCATGTAAGAATGACCCAAGTGCAAGGCAGTTTTAAGGGGCGTGTACGTAGGACTGTGGGGTATTTTTGAGGAAGGTAGAATCAACAAGCCTCTCTTTCCAAATGAGAACATGTGCAACTTTCATGATTGCACAGATTACCAAACGTGGTCGTGCTTCAGGGTTTGATCTGACCTTGCATTGCTGTAATGTGACAAAACATGGGTCAGGCTTGTAAGCAGAGACAGAATTCTGTATTCTGTATGTCAGAATTCATTTGTAGCTTTGCAGAAGGATAAAGGTTTGGACCCACTAATATACAAGCTGGGATAAAATATGGTACAAGATGATGGGGTGAAGTCCAGTGGTCAAACTAGAATTGAAGTTGGACTGTGAGTTTAGCCTGAAGTTTTGTTAGTTGCCCTGGTCAGTGTTGGTGCCTGAGGTGGGAGCTGAGGTTGGAGCCTCTGACCTACACTAGGGATAGGCCAGAAATGGCCCCAAACTAAGGTTAACATTTAGTTTCTTCTTGGCTACAGAACAAGCTTAGGGTTGAGGTTTGGATGGTGACTCAGGGTCAGCAGTAGAATTGGGGCTTGTGGGTTGCCCTGGAGATAGGATTAGCGTTGGATGTAGTTGGTGGTCCTATAACAAGGTAAGATTATGGGCCAAACGTAAGACTGCGGTGATAGCCTGGGATGGGACTACTTTTTGAGATGGGTGTGGAATGCAAGTCTGGGAATATTGGGAACATCCGAGTGGTCTGAACCAGAGTTAGTTTCGGAGTTGTTTGGTATGTCTCTGCTTAAGTTACTTTGGCAGCTAGATTTTAGGTTGATTTATGTTCAGGATTTGAAGCTTAATTATTGGGCCAGGCACTCATTATAGTAAGTAATATAAATAATATAGAGTATAAGTATACATCTAGGGACATCTCCTTCAGTTGCAATCACCTGTCACCTGTCAACATCAGGCAACAATCCATATTTTAAATGGGCATAAATATGAATAAATCATCAAAAAAAAATTATGCCTCCTGTATGATTAGAGGAATGAGGAATCACCAGATTATAGCCATCTACTAGTGCCAAGCCTGTTGCTGACAAGCCTGTGAAGCACATATAACTCACCCCTGAATATATTATGTACCATGTTTTTTAAAAGTAACATGAAAAAAAAGGTTTTACCTTAGGTAAATAACTGAGTAGTAACAGTTAGTGGAAAGGGGGAGGAGGGCTTCCTCTGAAACTTTCCTAATGGCATCTGGCTATGCGCAACAGCACAATGAGCAGCCACTTCTGAAATCAGCCCGCTTGTCTCCCAGTACTCCTCTTCCATGGTTATGCAAACAGACTGAGACAGAAACTCTTACCTTACTTAAGTGTTCAGCTGCAGGTTGCTCTGTTTGTGGTCTTTACTTTGGCTGTGGGGGCATGGGAATTCTGCAGTTCTTCTCCAAGCAGCAGCCCTGAAAACCCTCCCCTTCTGCAGGTGCACGCATAGGTCCAATCTGGCCATGGACTAATCCTGTGTAGTGGTCCAATCTGGCATCTGGATCTAGGGCTACATGCTGGGTCCAACCTAAGGTGCCAGATCCAGCTACAGATTGCCCTATGTATTGATCTGATCCATCATGCAGGATTGTGTCATCCTGCCAACAGAGCTCACCACAGGTCTGGAAATTTGATGGTGGGGGAGTGGTGGCAGCATTAATTGCCATTGCTCCAAAAGCTACCACTGCTCCTCCACCACCAAATTTCCAGACCTGTGGGGAGCTGCATTTTGCATATATAATATGCACCCCAATTCCCATCAGCTGGTTGGGGGGAAAGGTGCAGGTTAGGTTCAAGAAAATACATTAACTGTGGCTTTGCCTACTGACCTTAAAGGTTATACTTTAATAGCTACCCAAACAGCTGGCTATTGATGCGTAAATTAGGGCAAGGCTTCAGTCCAGACAGCTGATGGTACAGGGCCTTGATGGTACAGGGGTCTTAAAAGCTGATGGTATAGGGGCCCTAAATTTGTCTCTCCATCACCCACAGAGATCCACCCATGACTTAATCAGCAGTCTCCATCCCACACTTACAGACTCTCCCCACTTTTAATTGGCTGCCCTAGATCTTCTCACCAGAGAACTCTGTAGAGGCCAATTGCTACCTCCTAGTCTGCTGATTCCTTGAGGACTGTACTTTGCTCTTTTCTAACCTGCTCTGCTCTCTGCCTGCCGGTCTTCCTCCTGCTGGGTGAGGTCATGGGGAGGTGGCGGCAGCAGAAGACCTATAGGGCTTCTGGCCCTGAGCACATGTTGGCAAATGGGTCTACCAATATGCTTGAAAGCTAGAAGTTCCCTGGTGTGTCTGAGAGTCTGCTGGGGACAAGTGTGGAGCAGGCAGATGGGCAGACTTCCAACTTTGGAACTTGTCAATAGATTAAGGTGGATGGGGCATGCTCAAGCCCAGGGATGGGCAATTATTTTGGCTGGAGGGTCGCTTAACGAGTTTTGCTGAGCTGTTGAGGGCTGCAAGGGTGGCCCCGCCCCTGGTTGCCATCTTGGGACTGGAAGTCCCTCCGTTTGCCCCTGGAAGTACTCCTTTTGGGAAGGGGGTTTGCCATCTTGGAATAGGGAAAAAACAAATTATATACTAAAAATCAAACATCCATAATAATATATTTTAATTTTATTTAAAAAAAATTGTCATGAAAAATGTTTGTGTGTGTGTTTGTGCTGTATATATAGAAGTGATTGCATAATAGCTCAAACCAAAGTCTTACTCTTGTATATGTGGGAGGGTATGGAGAGGCGTGGGGGGTATGGGTGGGTGGGTATGGGGCTTGTGGGGGGACTGTGGGTGTGTGGAGGGTGGGGTGGCTGAGTGTGTGTGTGGTGTGTGCATGTAGCGGTGAGCAGGGCTCCCCCCCCAGAGGCGTGTCAGTGTGGGTGTGGGGGTGTGTGATGTTTGTGGGGTGTGTGATTGTGTGTGGGGGAGGGTGTGGTTGTGGGGTTTGCAGGGGAAGGTTTGAGGGTATATGGGGTGTTTATGAGAGCTCCCGAACAAGCCCCCCTGAGCTGGTCAGCTACCACCCCTGCCTCCACCCTGCAACAACCCATAGCCCACACGCCCTGCTGCACCTCCCCACTGCTGCCAACAGCTTGGCCTGCACCCGCTCCACACCACCTGACTGTGGTGCATCCTGCCACCCCAGGCATGCAATGGGGTTGTGGCAGCTCCTTCCGGCTGCTGCCACTGCTGCCTCCAGCCCTGCAGTAGTGGTGGGGACCAATGCATGCAGCCCTGACCCCACGCTCTCCACGCTGGCTCCAGGGTCACTTGTCCAGGCTGAGCAGTGGCAGCAACAGCTGGCCAGAAACTGTTGCTCGGCATGGGGAAAAGTGGCCTGTTCACTTTGCCACTGCTGGGCGGTTTTTGGTGCAGCTGCCCAGAGCCCACACCACAACAGGCTGCCCTGCAGCTCCATCACCACCGCCTCTAGGCTATCCTGTGGCTGCTCCGCATTGTCACCACTGCCACGCAGGGCATCCCGGAAGTGGTGGTGACAGAGCCACGGGGCAGCCCGGTGTGGTGGGCCCCAGGTGGCTGCACCAAAAACTGCCCAGCAGTGGCAAGGAGGACAGGCCGCCTACCCCTGTGTTGAGCAACAGTTTCTTCCTGGTACCACCGCTGCTGCTACTCAGCCCAGACAGGCGAGGCCAGAGGGGGTGCTGGCCCAGGCTCAGCAGCAGTGGTGCGGGAGAGAAACTGCTGCTCAGCGCAGGGTAAAAGTGGCCCCTCCCCCTTCAGCTACTGGTGCTTCCTAGTGCAGTGACCCAAAGCCCACACAAGGCTGCCCTGCATCTACTCTGCACTGCCACTGCTGCCCCATGGGGCAGCCCAGAGGCGGCGGTGATGCAACGGAGACACAGGGCACCCCACATGAGCTCCAGGTGGCTGCAACAGGAAGCGCTGGTGGTGGCAAGGGGGAGGGGCTGCTTTTGCCCTGCACTGAGCAGCAGTTTGTCTCGCAATGCCACTGCTCAGCCTGGACAGGCGAGCCTGGAGCAGGCATGGGGCATGCGGGGTCAAGGCTGCACATGCTGGTACCCACCACTGCTGCAAGCCCAGAGGCAGTGGCGGTGGCAGCTAGAAGGACCTGCCACTACCCAGGCTAGAAAGGCAATCCAGCTGTGGAGCCACCCCAACCCTGCTGCATGCCCAGGGGCAGCAGGACGCAACACAGCTGGGTGGTGCCTTGGCTAGGCAGGACCAAGGAATGTACTGCGGACTGGATCCCACCCCTGGGCCATATTTTGCCCACACTGCTCAAGCCTGTCCTTCCTGACAAGCCTTTAAAGGGTTTGGGATAGAGGAAGAAGAGGAAGCAGCTCTGTCCTGCATTGTGTCTGAGAGAAGCAGCAGCTCCTCCATATTTGGAGTGAGTAACTCTGGCTGCTCTACCTGCAGGGAGGAGCTGAATCCAGCTCTGCCAAATTCCAAGACATGCACTTAAGATGGCATGCAAGCCTACCCCCTGAATTACAGCATGGGGGGGGTGCTTCTTTCTGCAGGTGAGAAGACAAAATGCCTTGCAGCAAGGACTGTTGGTTGTAGCTGTGTTGGCCTAAGGACATATGCAGACAAGGTTCTTTGGGTAGATCTGATGTCTTTTATTAGACCAACTAAGTAGTTGAAAAAAAATTTTTTTGCAACTTTTGGGCACAATCACCCTTCTTAAGTCATAGACAGTCTGCTGGTGTTTTGTGTTCTTCTGTTCACAGGTTATAATGTGCCATAAATCCAATGTCTATATTTAGTCCATGATTTTTTGTATCCAGTAGATTTATGAAGTGAAGTTCATAGGCTCGTCTACGAAAGGTGTTTTATAAATGCCCTTTGAGGATCAGAACTGAGAGAGTGGTTGTCTTGTGAGAAGTGTGCACCCACAGGTAATTGGGTATTTTTGTCTTTGATAAATTTTCAGTGTGTGTGCATTCTGGTACACAGTTGTTGTTTGGTTTCTCCTACATATTTTCCATCAAGGTATTTAGTGCACTGGATGAGATGCATAACATTTCTGGAGGTGCAGGTATAACATCCAGGAATGGTGATGGTTGTGGGATGTAGTTATTGTAGAAGTGGTAGAGATGTGTTGGCAAGTTCTACGTTTTTTGTCCCGGCATGGTCTGGATCCATTCGGTGTACTTTGGGTCATAGGAAGTTTGCTTCTGGTGATGAGATTAGCAAGGTTTGGTGATTGTTTAAAAGCTAGGATGGGTGGTTCTGGAAAGATCTCTTTGAAAACGGGGTCTTCTTCTAGTATGGGTTGGAATTGTTTGAGGATTTTCCATATAGGTTCCAGGAAAGGATGGTATGTCATGTGGTGTGTGATTTGTGAGGATTTTCTTTTTGTACTGCAGCAGTTCTTCACATGGTATCTGGGTGGCACTTTCAAAAGTATGATCTATCTTTCTGGAGGAATGTCCTTAATGGGTGAAAGCCCTTTTGAGATTTGCAAGGTGATGATCGCTGGTATTCTCCTTAGTGCAAATTTGCATGGAAACCTTTCAACTTACCAACCACATACCTATCATTATAGATTTTACCTTCAGCTGAATTTGAACCAGGATGGCTGTTCTTTTTAATTCTTGTGACCTGAAGTCTGTATTCTATGATTCCTTTCCCCAAAATCTCAGTTATTTTACCTTTGTGCAAGTCTCCTCTTCAATCCATTGGAAAATAGATTTCTTCTCTAGATGACTGCACTTGCAGCTACTACATGAGGAAGCACTGCTATGCAGATGGCTCCCAAGGTAGAAATTTGTATTTTAATGCTGACTTTGATGTAGAGACTATATTATATCCCATGGGCTGCACTTCTGTCGGTTCCATACCCAACACGGAGCTGCTCATTCACCATGCTTTTTGGTCATTCTTATTCACGAGCACTGCACTTTTCTGGAAAGATCTAGAATATCTTTCTGTCTGGAAGATTATTTGTTTCTGGTACTCTTAAAATTGATGAGGTTAAACTTTAGGCCTTTGCTATATCACTGTTTAATATCAGCTCATTGAATGGCAGGTGTTTTCATGTGTGGTACAAAGTTATTGGTGAATGTATTGAGCAACATACAATCCATTCTATAGGTTTTATTTTTATTGGTATGCCCTATGGTTTGTGAGCCATCCTAATATATGATTCACTTAAAAGCCTCCTTTATAGCTATATTTTTTTAAAAAAAGAATACTCTTAACAGATTTAACTAGATTAAATTAGTGTTGCTATTTTATTAAAATAATACAGGTAGTGACACCTATTATTAAGGTTGTCAAACATTTTCTGTTATAACACCCTGATGCTAGTTATGAATAACTTTGACAAACTCTAGATTTTCAGACTGAATTTTGCTTTGCCATACATAGACCTAAAGCTGAATGTTTTTGCAAACTTTCAACTGAAACAGTTCAGCCATTTCTTACAACAACCTTCGAGAAAAATACATACTTTTTCCCATGTTAAAAAATAAACAAGAAACTCCCCAGCCAACAAAGAAAAGCTTTACACCCCCTTGATATTGTAAATACAAAGTCATAAGATTCACTTAACATTTAGATTTTTTTTTTAATGACTTTAATTTCTGTTTATTTTTCTTATAAATGTGACCCTGTGGGATACACTATGGTCACATTTACAAGTCTTTCTCAGCAGCCAGGAATGAATGAACTAGAAACTCATTTTTGAATGATAAGCTGAGGCTTAGCAACGTCATCCTGCTAGTATGTCAGCTCCAGCTGTTGGGACAATTTAGTTTATTTTCCATGCCTATTCAATCCTTGTTTTTTCTGAAACTGACATCCAGAGACCAGTTAGGCCCAATTATGCGCAAGGTTTGTTTTTCTTATTACCATGATTGAGTTCCACCTACAATCTCAGACTTTTCTCACAGGCCTAGGTGTGTTTGCAGAAGCAGTTTTCCATGAAACAGATACCAGATGGGTTATAATATGTTTCAATGTTACCACCCTATTGAGATGCTTGTGGGATAGTCCCAGTCTCTCATAGAAGTACTTATACAGTATGCCAGAGATAGTAAAAGGGTTGGGGAGGGAACCAGGCTGCCACCACTGCTCCCTACTGTAAACTTAGTAGGATTCCTGTTTCCAAAAAGTCATTGAAAACCCTGCATAATTCTCTTCTTGTCTCCCAAAAGCAAGGGTGTACAGCTAATCTTTCTTTTTCTCCTTAGAAATTGAAGGATGTCATAATAATAATGGAGGCTGCAGCCACACCTGTATTGCAGTGGAGGACACCTATCAGTGCGAGTGCCCACGGGGACTTGTTCTGTCGGAGGACAACCACACCTGCCAAGGTAAGAAAATGATGACTTCCTAGAGAGCCCTGTAAACTGTGGCCATCCCAGGGTAATATTCCTGTAATGGGAAAGCACTCTTTAATCCACCAGAAATAAAGGGCACCTTATAGGGCTCTTTGATGTTGTGGAAGGGTTACAGTTGCATGTAATACCTCTGCTAACTAATTCCTTCAAACATGTTTTAGAAGAATTGAAGACCAAGCATCTAGCAGGAGAATTGGCTAGGGATTTAAAAGGGGCAAAAGAAATCATGTGCACGAAGAGCCCCTCATAACTGGACTGTCAAAGCAAAGCAACATATAACAGAAGAAAGGATTCTTCCTTTTTTTAGCCCCCTCAAGATAGATAGAGAGATAATTTCAGTAAATACAAAGAGAAGATGATGTTTGAAAAATGTCTCATTCACAGGTCTGGGGTAACTGGGGTAACATCTGTATGGGGTTATTCTCTCTGATATTGCTCTTTTCTAACTGTCTTATCTGGCTTCTGCTGTGTTTTTCTCTCAGCTGTAGTCTGATTAATGGCGTTTCTTCTGTGCTGTATGACAGATGTTCCAATATTGGAAATATTGGAAAGTGCTGGAAAACCCTATTATAACAACAGGCACTAGATCAGACAAGATCCAAATGGATACATGTCACATTATAAGTGGTGTTGATGGTGGCACTTGTAGTTTTACATGATAAAACCCTGTTTCAGTAGCTTGTAATTTTGCCAAATGTGACCTGTTTGAACTGGAAATTTCCTTGTCACAGACTGATTTAAAAAAATTTTTTTTTAATGGTCTTATCTAAAATGGTTCAGTCATTTCCAAGGATGTTGTTTGGGAAAATATGTTCTTTCTCCCCATGTTTATGAAATATTTGTAAAACTGTGAGAAATTCTAGCCACTCTACTCTTTGAAGCAGGGAGTTTATATTTGGTAAGAGGGACTTCCTCTTGTCAGAACCTGCTCTAGGGATGAATGTGGGTTGTGTGGTAATAGAGACTGTTGCTTGTATGACCTCTGCCTCATTTATTGCAGAGGTTGGAGGTGTGGAAGGAATGAGGCTGGGGATTACAGGAAAAGAAAGTGGGGCACCATGGTTAAAGCAGCTGCAAAACACTCTTGGAACGCAAGCCTCTAGATCAGCCTCTGCCACAGAATTCTTGCTTGATGCTTGGCAAGTCGCTTAAAACACATTTCTTGGTGGCTACTAGTTGCGCGCGCTCTCTTTTCTGGATGCCCAGCCTGATTTTTCAGAGTGTTCCAAGTATGCAGTGCAAGGGTAATCAATGTGAGCTGAACTTCAATAAAAATACTAAACACTCAGAAAAAGCAGGCCATGAAAGTCTCAAGATGGGCACCCAGAATAGGAAGACAGATGGCAATTTTGCCTTTATCCTCTCTGTGTTTCACTTCATTAGCTGTAAAATGGAAATAGTACAACCTCCACTCATGGGTATGCCACGAAGGTGAATTCATTCCAGTGTGTGAAGCATTTGGATACTTAAGTGATGAGTATTGTAGAAAAGCCCATGAGACAAGTAGCTATTCAGCAAAGGGTTTAGATACACAGTAAATGAGGCCTCAGGCCATTCATTGAATGATGAGGATAAAAAGAATGAATGGCTTCCCATTCATCCTGTGCAGTGAATGGGGCAGCGATCTTAGGGAACAACAATCTATAATCATGTAATTAAAGATTGTCAAGATGGAAAAGTCCAGCAGAGTTATGGTGAGTTATGTTTCTACAGGCAGCTTTCATTTCAACATTTCCTGGCTTTTCTGTGCTTGACTGTTAAAGTCAAGCACAGCAATTTCAACAGTCTTTTAATGCAGGGTATTTGTTGGTGTAATAGCATCCTTCTCCCAGGAGGTATCCAGCATGCTGAAACTGGTGAGGGCGCTTGATGTTCTTGCAGTCTACAGAGAAGGTTGGTGGGGCCTTTTGTACTTCAAGAACCACTATTTTTTTTCTGATTGTTTTGCAGTAAGCTTATGGATAATGCTGCACTTTCAGCTGTGACAATGATATCTGGTATTTATTCAATGAACACATACAGCCAGCAGCAATGGTATAAGATTCCTGCCCTGTGCTGCAGCAGATCTCCCTCCCAATCTACTGCATCCATATCAAGCTGACTCACTGTCCAGGCACAGTCTCTCATTGCTGCCTTTTCTTAGATTGCTAATTAGTGCCAGATATACTAAGGGGTGTTTGGAAACATCATCTTATAAAGCAAGATTGCTTGTTCTTTTACATTTCATCAAACTTATGGTGTCATGCAGTGGTTTGTGAATAAAAGCTGATATATTACAGAACCTTCCTATAACTGTCCAATACATTTTATTACATCTAATCAAGTTTATGACAATATAATTAACAGAGAAGGCTTTCAGAGTAACCTGGAGCAGTTTGCCTGTATCATATCAATATTTCTCTACATTACCTATATATTTAAAGCAAATATTAATCCTTTCCAACACCTGCCATTTAAAAAAAGGGACTTGTGCCAAAAAAACAAAATAAATCCCTTCTGTTTTATAGAATTTCTTCTGTAATTTGAAACTGAACGGTTTTTTCCCCCTCTCTTTTATGTACAAAGCTGTTGTCTAGTGAATTTCAAATTGGATATTGCATATTGTGGCAGGGCTGAAAGGTCCCAGTCATAGACCTCTGTCCTAGTCACTGGTCACATACAGATTGACATTGACATGGGACAAGAGGATGCTACAGAAGGAGTATAAAATTGGTACTAGTCAGTAGGGCTGTACAAAACGACACTGTTCCGTTTCGCCTTGAGTTTCAATGGTTTGATGGACAGTGTTTCGTATCGAATTTCATTTTGATTCCAAACAGCTGTTCCGTTCTGTCGAAACAGAAAGGCTGTTTTGACGCTGTTTTGATGTTTCACTGGGGACTGGAAGTCAGCCCAGCTGGGCTGAATCGCCATCCCCAGTGCTAGATCACGCCGGCTGCGTTGACTCCCCGTCCCCCACGCTAGATCACACCAGCTGGGCTGACTCCTGCTGGATCTTGCGCCAGGGATGGGAAGTCAGCCCAGCTGGACTGACTTCCTGTCCCCCAGTGCTATGGTCAAAACGCTTTGACTTTCGAAACATTTCAACTAGCCTCATTTTGTTTTGAGGCTATTTTGATGGCCTTTGTTTCACTTTGATTTTGCTGTTTCAACCTCGAAATGAGTTGAAACTGTGTCGAAACAAAATGGCCGGAGAAATTTCGCACAGCCCTACTAGTCAGTACAATAAACGGTAATCTCATCTGCCTAGCCAGTGTCAAGGTGTTTGTGAAGGACAATGATGAGGTGTCTTTCAAGGTGGCTTGGGTAGGGGGTGCTCTTCTGAGTGAGTGGTTGAATGAAAAAAGTGTATAGATGCTGTTTGACAGTGTAGCAAGTGGGTGAGAAAAGTAAATATTGATGGCAAAAGTGAAGGTAGGCAACATCTTAAGAGCATTAGATAGATGATAGGCGGAGTGAAGAATAAGCTATGAAGGTTGGTCAAAAAGAAAGCTAAGTAATTTGTGCGTAAAGTGATGGAGGAGGAAGAGCCAATAGTAGGGATTATCAAGAATTGATCAGTTGACATGGTCAAATCAACAAGCTGGGAAAATGAACTTTGCAGCTGCTTCTTGAGTGGATAAAACTGGGGCAAAATTGCTCTGGCCAGAAGAGAGAGAATTTTCCTCTGCCTTAGATAACGTGTCTCTATTGGGCATATCAATGCCAGCAACTTGCAGTTCATGAGTGACTTCAGTGTAACAATATACTGCACTGCTTACACCAATGAAATTTTAGAGATTATCTGCACTTGCTAACTCCTCTCACCTCAGCCAATTTTAGTAACATTGGCTAAACCAGCTGCAGCCAGCATCATGAACACTGTGTATTAGACCTGGTCTGAACTGAGTCACATGATGCAGGTGCTGAAGATACCTGTGGTCATCTATATTGGAGTGAAGAATTGTCATTTCTATTGGAATTTAACCAGCATTCCCAATATTAAGATGTTTCTTATCTAAAATTTGCCCCCTAAAATTTCTTTAAAATTTGTTGTGTTATTTGCAGGGTGTTCAAGAAGAGTGAGTTATTACCCTTGATATTTTTCAGTCGTTTACCTGTAGGTGATGAGGTATTTTAGATTCAGAGATAATTCAGAGATAGGTTTATTCTGTGGAGAGAAACCTATTTTAGTTTTAAGTCTGCCTGGATGTTTCTTTTGCTCCCACATTTCACAGAAGGCAGAGAAAACTCCATAGTCCCCAGCCCAAAATTCAAGTGTCAATAATTACCATCTTCTCTCTCCTCCCTATTTCAGTCTTAAAGACATTTACAGACATATGGTCTAAACTAAAATCATGGGTCCAAACTCCTCTGAACTTTGGAGAACTTCAATTTAGATCCAAATTATCTGGAATCAGACCTATCCTTTGAAGTATAAGGCTTCCTCATTTATCAAAGGATTACTTGAAAGCGTTTATAGAAGACCTAAATCAGGGCTGAACGAATCAATTCTTCTACACAGGGTTATCTTCCTGCCAGTCATTATTGGAAATAGTTTCGCAATGCCCCTTTAGAAGCTTGAAAAAACATTTATCTTCCTTTCTGGTTTTGTCTTTTGCTGTCTGACACGCATTGATTATTTTTCTCCTCACATTTCTAACAGAGCGTAAGTTAAGACAGTTTGTTTTTCTTTAAATGTCTGTTTCTGTCTCAAAAGCATCCTTGGTGATGTCAATAAGAGCACCCTGCCCTTAGAATATTGATTGTTGTTCAATATGACACATCAAAAATTAAGAGTTTAATAAAACTTTTCCCTAC